TATAACATGGTAGGAAATCTTAACATCATAGAATGGTTTGGGTTGGACTGGACCTTAAAAAATCACCTAGTTCCAGCTCACCTGCCAGGGGCAGGGACACCTTCCATTAGACCAGCTTGCTCATGCAACCTGACCTTGAACACTTACAGAGAGGGGGCATCCCAACTGCTCTGGGTACCTGCTCCAGTGCCTCACCACACTCATTTCAGAGACTATTTGTTATTTAAACTGATGAAGCACACTGAACAAGGTTAGGTTTTATACCAAAATACTGTGTGTTTGAAAGCAAAAATTCTGATACAGCTAGCACAAACAATTTTCTAATGTTGTTAAGTTCACCACTTCACGAGGACATGAACACCAAGATGAATTTTGGTGCAGGGGAAGCGAAACATCTTCAAGAGAACAAGCATTGTCTTTTATAGAAGAAAGTTAGTTTTGGAAGTACTCTCTCTGACTTAGGAAACAAATTAACTGCTGTTTTCCATGGCTTAAAACAAACTTAGGGCTACTCAAAGATTCTTTGTTTCATACAGAGAATATAGTCAGCAAATTCTGCAATATCTGCCTTATTCTAAATATTTATGCTTCTGTGGATAATGTTCACAGTATGATTAGCATAAGACACTTGTATCTTTTCATCCTATTGAGTTGATCAGAGATAACTCAGTTTCTCCAAGAAGCTAGTGAATTATCTTAATAAAATTCTGCAGGCTCTGTGTATTCTAATCAGTCACATACTGGTTTAACTTTCATGCTGCTCCCTAGAGAAATATAAAAACTTCATGGAAAAAAAAAAGCATAAAAGTTACTCATATGGAAGGGAGAAGCAAAGGAACAAAGCAAGTAGCAGTCCCAGACTGAAAGGAGAATTACATTATTACATAAACCTCAAGCTTTCACAGCAAGCAGATGGCCAGGAGTTCAGTGTGATTATGTAGAAACAAAAAGATGCTTCTATTAGCAGTTGGGGAGGGTATTCAAGTTCACACACATACAAACACAAGATACACTTCAAACTTGAGTGACAAGACACCATACATAAACATTAGCAGCTTAACAGAAAAGGATCCAGACTTTCCACTGAATTCTTACCACTAGAAATGGTTTGAACCACATCTGGCCTAAGTATGGCTAGTAAAATTCTGGTAACTCAGTTCCAAAATGTTTTCTTCTGTTAAGGTTAGCTTCTCATTAAAGAAACACATGTTTCAATGTGGCATAATATAGAAGAGATTTCTCTTTTTAGAAAATTTCAAAATGGAACATTTTGTTTGTGCTAAGTTCTCTAAGCTTTGCAAATAAGTTTTTCTTATTCTAGATTTAAAAAACTTGCAAAGATAATTCAATTACTGTTTCTCTAACACTCATATTAAACATACCTTTTAATAGCAAAGTATAAAAATGAATTTTGCATTTCAGCACCTTACAGTCCAGACAAATTCATCTGAAAGTCGAATGTACCCCCATAATTTTGGAAAAGTCGGTATACAGTGTTGTTACATATGTAAAAAATCAACCATCCATTTTTTCAAACTATCTACATACTTATTACCAATTGAAAGGGAACTGGTATCTAAACAACTTTTCTTCAGAAATCTTTCATTTTGGAATACGTTTAGCTCTCCATAAACTAATATTTTCAAATATCAGAACAGCAATAGCAAAGGTGCAAAGAAACCATCTATGTGGAAACAGAATAAAACAGAAACAAGAATGAGGCCATATGGGAGAAAATAACAATTTGAATATTCCCCCTGTGCCAAAAGCAGCACTTCAATCAAGGGACACTTTACTGCAGGAAGCTGAGACAATGCAATTAAACACACTTAACCAAAGACAGCAGAAAAGGCACTGCAGAAGTCAAGTAATTTGTGCATATAAACAGATTTTGAGAAGAAAAAACTTACTCAACCTAAAACCAAATATACATTTAGCTAAACGTCTGGCTTTCTAAAGTAAATGGAAACATTGGGGATAAAGTTTACAGAGCACAATGTGTAAGTGATTGTGAAGCACTGAAACTAAAAAAATATGAGATGTGAGTATGAAAAAAAAATTGACTGTGACAGATTTAATTGCTGTCAGATCAAAGATATCAAGTAAATTTTTAGTTTTTAAATGGAGTATGTGGCATCTAAAGGGGGAAAAATATTATCTGTGGAACTTGTAGGCTTCTTGACTTTTCTAGCATAGAAAATAAAAGCACTGGAGAGTAAAAGAAAGTTAATTTTGTTTGATTAATAATCAAGCTATCCTTCTCAATTTCTAGCAGTTGCTTTTGATCTGACTGGCTAGTTCCAACCAAACCTGGCAGAAAAAAAAGTATGTTTTGGTCACAGCTCTGTGCAGGAAAAGGGAAAACGGGACATTCCTACATAGTGCCCCATGGAGGCAGAAGCTTCAGTGACTGTTCAGTCATCACTGTGGCTGCCTGGTCGCCTGTCAATAGACCATAAGTGATCCAAACCCTGTGCTGCCTCTTGCTCTGGCATCATTTATAATGCCTAGGATGAAAGCAGGCTTACCGCTAAGTTACACGGAAAAAAAAAATCAAAAAAGGAGACCAGGTATTATACTTCACTTTTTGAGAAACAGCTTATGCTTTACTAATATGTATACACAACAACAACAACAAAAAAAAGCTTTGTTTTTCTTTGTACTTTACAAACAAAACAAAACAAAACAAATCCCAAAACCCAAAAACATTAAGTCAAGCAAAAAATGAAAATCACACACCACTTTCACCTGGCTTCATTCACTGGCTAAGATGGTACCATTCAATTAATATGTTCAATATTTTTTTTCATCTCAAAAGATGGATTAAGGTTTAATTTACTACAACTTATTTAAATTTTACACTTGAGGATGGTAATTGCTACTTTCCAATGAGCATCTGTATCTTGTTCCTGGACTCAGTACAAGTGCTTTCTCACTAGTAATGACTCTGTTCTCACAGTATCCTCTCAATAAACAGCTCTGTTATTCCATTTTACAAACTGAAAACAGAGGTGCAGAGAGATTACTAAACAATGACCATCAGTTTTGATGCAATTAAGGTCAACTTTTTTCCAAATATTGCAGACCAGACAGAGCTACTTGGGTTTGAAACAGCTCCCCTTGAGTTGGTAAAAACTATGAGTGCTAGTCACTTTTGCAGGTCAAATTCTATAACCTCGCATCATGAAATATGATATTTGTATGACATGAAACATACATAATCATAAACAGATTTTGTAACACCAACAGAAAGAACAGCACCGAAATCCTTTGAACTCCAGCACAGTAGAGTAGCACAGGGTTTTCCCAAATTTAACTCTACTTGAACCCACTTTCTTTTTAAGAAATGCAGGAGGGGAAATGCCCACGAAAAAATACTCAGTGATAAGCAGCTATTTATGTGTAGTAATGCATTCCAATGATTAATCAGTCCAGTAAGAACACACCCATTATTTGAAGTCTGAACTTGCTTAATTCACCTTCCAACCACAGAACTGTGGTACACCTGTGTCAGCTGAAGAGAAGCTTTTATCAAATACCTCTTTGCCAAGCAGGTGCACACCGACTAATGAAGAAGCCCTCAACATTTCCTTAGCTAAGCTAAACAAAGTAAGCACCTTATGTCTTCATTCCCCCAGCCATTTTCAAGACTGTTCTCTGGAAGCTGATTTTTCACCATCCTTCCTGGACTATCAGCACCAGATGTATTGCTCCTGTAACAGTTATAGCTGATACCTCCTAATTGTCAATTCCCTTGCTCAACTACTCAAAATTTTTTACCAGACCTTTAGCTACAGCCAAAAGGATTGACTTCAAGTTCAAATCCAAATCCTATCATTCATCAACTCCAAACTTGTTGCCCAACTTAGTATTTAGTTGCACTGATTCTGCTATGAAGTTATGTGTCCCATTTATTAATTATCTAAATCACTTTGCGACCTTACTAATGTTCTTAGTCCCAAATTTATGATTTTCTAGGTAGGTAAAAACATCTGAAATAATTCCAACACAGTTATTTACAATGAGAACCTCTGAGACTCTGTTGCAATGTATGCAACAGCAGACTGATTTGTAGTATGCACCAACATCTGCAGATGCATAACACTCTGATATTGGATTTTGCACGTTAGTCATACACAGCCTTACTTAGGGATCCACGTTTGCAAGAGCGCAAATCTCTAGCCAAGGCCCTCCTAGAATTCTCAACTAATAGGACTTAGATTTTATTTTGTAACATAAAATTTAACAAATCTTTAAAATAGTCCAGAACCAACCAACAAGCAATGTTTATTAAAGATGATGATAAATGAAAATAGAGTTGGGTTTTCATTGAATAAATTGATAAATCTAATCAACAGGTGCTTTAAAAATATACAACCTTTCCATCTGTGTATTTATATGTCATTATACAGCTCTATAAATATTTTATTTAGAATGCAAGACCTTTCAGGGACCAGTTCAAAAAGATGAACAACAAAACCCCCCACAGAAAAAACCAAGAAGCAAAATAGTTACTGTTCTTCCATTTCCCAACTATTTTTCAACTGGTACCTGTCAGAGACTGAAACGGTTAATGATTTATGCATTCTGGGATTGCCAGGAGACTTTTGCAGGCTTTTGGAGGACTTTTGCATTATACCTATGATGCATTTTCCCTTAAGGTTATCTTTATGCCATACTGCTATAAGTGATAGGTACAGATGATAACACCCGAAATGCTAATGTACCTTTGAAACAAAATTGTTCTAAAATAAACCCTACATATATATGTCTTCAAACATGGATTTTCAGTGTCGTTTCACTCTAATCCACCCCAAGAGATTTATTAATAAGAACCTGGGTAACCCCCCCACTTTTCTGGGCCAGGTTGTAACAGTACCTGCTTGAAGACTTCTGCTAGAATAATTTTCTGGTTTTCATCTTCCTGTCATTTTCATTCTTTTCCAATTTTATGACTTCATAGTCTAAGGTAAAAACTTAAGCAAGGAGGAAGAACTTACTGGTATTGAGAACTCCTCTGCCAAATACTTCAACACTGATGCTCCTCTAGTCAAAAAGTTACTTCTCTCTGCCAGATTGCCTTGAAGTTTTGTGTCAAACTCCTTTCTGACAACTGAAGCAACAGAGTCAATTATTATGAGTTTAACTTTCTTTGAAATAATTTCTTCTTCCAAAGACATAATCCTAAAAAAAGAAAAAAAGAAAGTCACTGATAGCATTACTTACACAATAGAACCATTTTATAACTCTGAAATTGTTTAAATAAAAGGATTCCTCTAATAAGTTGAAAGGCAGCCCTTCTTTTTCCCTCCTCACACACCACCTCCATTAACATCTACATGTATTGAAGAGATTTGGAAAGGAATCTGAGGCTCACTGGTCCATATAACTCAAGACAGAATCTCTCCAAAAGAGAGGATTTGGAAGAATCTCTAGTTAGCAAGACTATGCTGTACCACCCCTGAACGGCAGATGGCAAGTAAAGTGGACATGGAAACTGTGCTTTTTAGCTCACAGTAGATGCATCCCATGGTCCACTCCAGATTCCTTGGTGTCTATGTATGCAGAAGGTCAAATACATTTCCGCATACCTCCAAACCTAATTTGTTAATAAGGATGGATGCCGTCCAGAGGGACCTGGACAAACTTGAGAAGTGGGCCTGTGAGAACCTAACGAAGTTAAACAAGTCCAAGTGCAAGGAGCTGCACCTGCATCAGGGTGGTCCCAGAGACTGGTACAGACTGGAAGAAAGTGTAATTGAGAGCAGCTCTGCAGAAGACTTGGAGGTCTGCGGACAAAAAGCTGGGCATGAGCCGGCAGTGTGCGGCACAGAAAGCCAACCATATCCTGGGCTGCAGTGAGAGGTGTGGCCAGCAGGTCAAGGAAGGTGATTCTCCCCCTCTACTCTGCTCTCAGAAGACCCCACCTAGAGTACTGCATTCAGTTCTGGGGTCCTCACAAGAAAGACATGGACCAGAGGAAGTCCTCAGGAGAAGGGCTACAGTGATGAGCACATCTCCTACAAAGACATCCTGAGAGAGCTGGGGCTTCTTCAGCCTGGAGAGAAAGTGACTCCAGGGAGACCTCATTGCAGCCTTACAGTACTTTAAGGGAGCTTATTTATAAGAGGCAGAGCGACTTTTTACATGAGTGGGTAGTGATAGGACAAGGGGAAATGATTTTAAACTAAAAGAAGAGAGATTTAGATTAGTTATTAGGAAGAAATTCTTTACTCAGAGGGTAGTGAGGCACTGGCACAGCTTGCCCAGAAAAGTTGTGGATGGCCCATGCCTGGAAGTGTTCAAGGCCAGGATGGAAGAGACCCTGAGCAACCTGATCTAGTGGGTGGTGTTCCTCACCATTGTAGGGGGTTGGAACTAGATGATCTTTAAGGTACCTTTCAACCCAAGACATTCCATGTTTCTACAATATGCTACTAGCTGTTCTCTGATAAAGCTGCATTGGAAGATAAAAGTATCCTTAGAATAATTCTCTCACTAACATAAAACACATAGTATGATGCTAAAATATAACTTAATTAATTTTCCTTGCAAAATATGTTCACAAATTAACATAAGGTAACAGCATGACAATACAACACTGCCAACAACAAGATTCATGCTGATGACTCTTAAACAATTCCTTCCTCCCGCTGCTGGAAGGGTTCCTGTCTTCCTGGAAGGAAACTGTGCTTTGGAGGAACAAGATTCTCTTCGATGGACAATACAACTCTTATACTATGGTCCCTCCACAATCCAAGAGACGACCTGTCTCATGAACATCCCCTTTAAAGGTTTACGGGGATCAGATGACGTAGAAATTGTCTACCAGAAATTTAAAAACATCAACCAGATTAGTCACATGCTATGAAATGAAAAGAGCAATGTCAATCTTTCTGCAGTGCTACTTTGCTGGAGACCATGCTGTTATCCACATGAAAAGGTCTCAAATAAATTAATTACTCTTCATAAAACTTTGATATAAAACAAATATTATTATAGACAATCAAGTCAAAGTGGTGTTGTATTTTTATTTTAAACTCTGGAGAAGAATACCTCTGTAGTACACTGCAACAGGTCAGTTCTCGATAGAGGTGAATGCTACGGGTCATGCAGAACACCTTTTCATCCGAGTCAAAATAAGTAGGGAATCTGTTTCCTGCTATCTCAATCAACCTATTAAAAAAAAAAAAAAGCAAAACCAGAAGGTATATCACAGCAAAAAGAATAATGTAGGATAATAAGTCATCAAATATTCATGAAGTAAACACAGTAAACCTCTGAACCATAAGCAGATACCAAGTAATACTGGAAAGCTTCTAAAAAGGAAAAGCATACTTTATCAGTCAGACTGAAATGCTGGAAGTCAGAACAGTTAGGTTGTCTTCTCAGTGATGCTCAGTCAGTGGTACACAAGGGAAAGACATAATGTGTCTGTAAACAAAGAAAGAGAACATCTCCTCTAGAAGGAAACTGCAAAGTTTTTACTCAATGCAAAGTTCTTCAACTTTTATACAAGAAGTTCCACTCAATGATCAAACATTCTCCTATTCTAATTATTGTATCTAAATACTATTTTCATTTAAACAATAGTAGTCTCCAACTCAAACCATCTTCCCTTTCACCTTTATCTTGTGGTGAAATCATGAAGTGTCACCACAGAAATTTAACAAGCTGCTAAGAAACAGAAGATCCAGCCAACATAGAAGCCAGACTGCAAAGAACAGAGCCCAGTTTGACTTCAAGTACTTAGGCAAGCAGTACATATATGGAAAGTTTATCTGACAAAGTGAAAATATTTTCACAGATAATCTCTCCTTAAAAACACAAATAAGGTCATTTGGATGGGTGACTGTTTCTGTTTTACCAATTACCTATTTGTAAAAACGGCTTATAAAATGTTACGAAAAGCCACTTTTTAGAAAAGTGTGAAAAAAACAGAAACCAAACAGCATTGTGTCACAAAGTGACTGAGGCTCCAGCTGCCCGGCAACTACAACTGAACATCTATCCATTCAGATACCACAGGTACAAATGGCATGACTTGATACAACAAAATTACTAGAGCATTTAAGTGTCTGCTTTTCTGATAGAACTGAATGTGGAATTCCATGATTAAATTTTCTCCATTACCTTATTAGGAAACTCATAAGCCTTCAAAACCTTGAATTACAGTTGCAAAGCATACCACTGTTTATTATCAGAGTAGACTAAAGAAGCATATCAGATAACTGGTGATAACACTGAATGAAGTTAGAGGAAGTTGGATTTTTTTTGTTTATTTGTTGTCAAAATACTTTCGTATTCAGAAATTATGACTTGAAAAAAATCTCATAGATGTAAAACTAAACAATTTGCAGTTAAATTTTATTTTATACACAAAATCATTGAGGAAACTAAATGGTATGCATTCTAGAAATGCTGACTGCCTACAAACCCTACGAAGCCCTTGGAAAGAAGTTCCACTCCTCTGAACACAAGGCAATTTTATCTAGGTCCTTAAAGAGATGATCCAAGAATTTAACTTTGAAAATCACAGTTATAATCTGCACACTGAAATTTTTTTCCATAATGAAAGTTTTATTTTTTAATAACAGAAAATGCTTAATTGTTTGTATTTTAAGCAGACATATCCCACTACCTATAGCTTGAGTGGCTTCTAGTGGATTATACTTGTGGGCACAACTTACTGTTATTATCTCAATGCTTTTGATTTAGACCCCTTCATTAAAATATGTAATGTTAAAGCTATTTTAGGGAAAAAAAATTAAAATCCATTTTATTTGGTTTAAAAATAGAAGCACTAAGCTTGAGTGTTAAGATACCTACCCTGAGCAAACAATTTAATTTTAATAGCCTGATTCTCATTCATTAAATACATTACTTATTACACATAAACTTGTCCTGCAGAACTTCCAGAGACAGAATTTTGTCTGCCCACCTGCACAATTAATCATGCAGATCATTTGGGTAACAGTGAGCCGCCATTCAACAGTCTGCAGGAAATGAGATTTCACTGTGCTTTCTAATGAGCATGCACATCACAAAGAACATCGTTATACTGAACAACATAAAGCGATACACGAAAATCTTGCCAAGATTGCAGCACTACTCTTAAGAGTTCCAGGTGGGTTCAAAGTTCTTTAATATCTAAATCCTGTTTGTCATGATGAGACCAAAATCTCCACAGAACATGTTTTCTGCAATCAGGGCAGATCCATTATGTATCCAGATAATCTGTTCTCAGCTTTGGTTCACAGAAATTTGTACCTAGCGTTTTTCACAAGCAATAAGTATGACTAGCAAAAAAAGCCAACCTAACAAATTCTTTTCAGACTTTCTGAGTACGTCTGGTATGTTTTCAGTTAATAGCTGGCTACTACAAAACTGATGACAACAATTTTGATTTCCAGACTTACTACAGCCCTTTCATCCACCTGTCCTACTGTCCACGTTCTGACAAAGAGGAATGACAGACAACATCTGCACTGTTACAGCTGTCTCTTATAAAAATAGTGCCAGCTAAATGTCTCCATCTAGCCCTTTAAATTAAGATGCTAATAAATGAATATTCTATGATTTGCCTTCTTATCTGAGGTGTTCAGAACAACAATAAAACCAAAATATCTTTTATTTGCCATCTACTAATAATACAGGATTACAGAATCTTAAGAAAACTCAAGTTAGGAAGAGAACGCATGAGACTTCTAGGCCAAAAAATTGTTCAATATAGAGCCAGTTATTAAGTTAGAGCATACACTTCTTGAGTCTTTATCTATTTTGGAAGCCTCCAAAGATGGAGGCAGCACCACCTCTCTGGACAACCTTTATTTTACCACAAAGACAGTCAGGAATTAGAAAGCTTCTCCATATATCAGCACAGAAATGGATTTCAATCTATGCCTGCTGTCCCCCTGCCACACATCACTGTGCCATCTTCTCCATGGCCTCCTTATTGGCAAGAGAAGGCTTCTGTGAGATTTCCCAAAGCCTTCTCTCCTCTAGACCAAACAAATGTGCAAATACAGCACATAGTGTCTCCTGTCCATTCAGAACACTGTAAGTACACAGCTGAGCAGTTTCGGTCACATGGGCCAAGCAGGAGACATGAGAAAAATCAGAGATGTTATAGAGGTAAGGTAGTATAGTAATGTACAGCTGCTAAGGATATAGAAAAAATGCAAGCTCACTCAGAAGGAAACCAGAAGTGCAGAAGGACACAGGGTCCCACTCAGAAGTAGGAAAGAAATCTGAAGGAAAACTAGCTATGTCAGTCCTACTGTTCACCAAAAAATCTCCGTTTCCTTTGTAGTCAAAATGAGGGGCCTTTACATCCTCAAAACCTTCCCCTTAACTCCACAAACTAAATTGCAAAGAAAGATTTCAGGTAGAAGACTGATAATAACATCTATAAATTGAAGAGCATGCCATCCACCTTGCCATACCAGAAACTGCAACATCATTCAAATTAGGAAGGTGAGCAAACCATTCTATTAAATTAATTTCAACATCTATGGAATAACTGCATATACCAGAGGAATGGTTAATAACTACCACAGGTATCTAAAAATGCATCATTATTGCTCAGAAAATAATTGAAGGCTCCAAGATAAAAGGTCCTAAGAAGTGTATACTTTAGATTTTTGCATCTTACCTTTCAGCACTGAATGCGGACTCTGTGTCAATGTATATAACTGCCCCATCTAGTCCTCCCATGCTTAGAGGCAGTGTAGCCAGAACACTCAGCATAATACAAAATTGAGTTTTGCCACAACCCGGTGGGCTAGTTATCTGGAAGAAAAAAGATTAGTAACATAACATTCATTTTACATAACTGTACTTTTATCTTCAACCCATCAGACCATACTCAAATTTTGCTCCTTCAGCTACCACAGGAGGAGACAGACACGAAAAGACAGAATGCAACCCAGAAAGAGCAACTTTGAGTTACTGCTTTGCAGTCAGACTCATCCACTGAAGAATAAACAGCTTTACAGATCCAGCATTATGCTTGCACTTTATTTTTTTTGACATCATTATTGCTTTTCAAATTTGCGGTCCTCTACTCTCTCCCTCACTCACAGGATCTTCCCTAGAGACACCTAGTTCTCTTCCATCCCTGTGCTACTTCTAAAATAGAGACGAATTAGACGATTCACAGTTGACATTCACGTGTCATCAATGGCCTTTAGAGCTGAAAACAAAGTCCAGAGCTAATGAGCTCACAGATGTAAATGACTGCTTAGGAATCATCATTACTTTGGTTAAATCAGGTCTCCCTTGGAAATCACAAGGATAATTGCTTATATCCTGTAAAAACTCAATGTTCAGTGTGAACCATATATATACAAAGAACAGATTTTATCTGCCCCAGAGACTACACTCTGCTCTGTACTATGTATTCTTTCATTGGTGTTAACTCCCTATTACCATATTTCAACACCAACACCATTCAATGATCCAGACCAGCTTGCCAATTCTAAGCTTTCACCTGTGCTCACTGAAAGCCCCCTGTGGTTAAGGTTCCAGTACGATTTTGATTGAGAGAAAAACCACAGGGATCCAAAGAATACATTCTTTGATGAGATCACCAGTTTCTGAGAACAATATTTTTCTACTGGAGATGGCAGTCTGCTGTTCTTTATCCACTGTAGATTTTGCAGAGATTGTAAATGAATGCTGGGCTCTGTGTTCTGATAATTGTAACTTCATTACTACTATGGCGAGTCTTTAAATACAATCCCACATTGTAACTGCTTCTGGGAAGGGAGATGATGAAATCTTAAATACTAAGAGGGCTGAAAAACAGCTGAGTGACTTTAGGCACTTGAAACAGAGCGATGGGTTCATTCTGATGCTAGTAGGTAAAAGCAAGCCTCTCCAGGGAAATTAAACTCCAAAATGAAGCATACCTCCTCAAAACACCTAGTATTGCCAAAAAGAAACCTTAAAACAGAGGGACACTCAAAATCAAACTGATTTTTGAGACTACACACACTAGAGTTTGGTTTTAAGCACAGACACCCTTTAACCACTAGGTATTACAATACTGGTATGGTTTTAAGTAGCAGCAGCATGAGTTGAAGCACAGAAAATTTACAGGGAAGGACCACATTAGCTACAGTTAACAGCTGGTTAAAATCCCTTTAATCATCTTTGTCTTTAAACAAGGCCTGAAAGCCAAGCCATATCAGTCAATCGACTTGAAGCTTTGATGCAACAGAAGCTTTAGATTTTTTTTTAGAAGCACACATTGCATTTAGAGAATTAGAGATCAGGAATCAGTCGTATTTATGCAATTATCTGTCCTTCAGCCAGTGCACTTAAATTACAGAATAACATATCAACAATGGTTGCTACATTTTAATCTAAACCCACAGCATATATAAAAAATGCAGAGGCAATACACATTCCTTAGACTGTGATAGCCAAGGAACCTCACCAGCTGTTTCTGGTTAAAAAGAAGACGAAATGAATGAGGGGAGGGCATCAATCCAATTGTTAAAATAAAATGTTTAATAACTGTGAGGACATCCTGTAAAAACGCCCGTAATTTCAGCCTTGCCTGGGAGGTGCACTGGAATCAACGTTTCAGTGGCTGACGCAGGAACTAATTTAGCAGAGTTGCTATAAAAATGTCTGAGGATATGAGCATCATATCAGAGAAAGAGAAGGAATTTTGCAGGACAAGCTAATATAAGGAAGCAAGCCAACTGAGCAGGAGAGCATTTCTATTCCCAAAAACAATACTTCATCTTTCATCGGTATTCCTTTAAAGGGCATTAAAACAGACTTTTAAATAATCCACAGTAAACAGTTTTCAACTACATTTTATTGTAGTTACTACAGGTTCAGCAAGTGTTTCTGAACACTACCATCCTAGTTAAAATTCTACTAATATAATTTAAATTGAATGTCAGCAAAAAGTTTGCTTGGTTTGTTTTACTCTGAATTTGCTCAGGAAAAAAAATCACCCAAATAGAAATGTGAAGACTACAACAGTTTTTAATTTACCTCTGCCTAATAAAATATACTTTTATTTTTCAATAAGCTATATATTATTTGCTCTGGCACACCTGGAGGGTTTGGATGAAGTCACAAGGAGCTAATTCTTCTTCAGCTACCAGGAGATTAAATTCTTCAATATTCACTAAGTATTAATTTAAATTTTCCTCATACGAGTTGGCCTAAAGCTCTGACATTTGACCACAGAATTTCAGCTATGATTTAATTTCCTACTTAAAATCTCATAGTGGTTTGGAAAAAAAAATGGTCTGAGACAGTGTAACACAAATCAAGTCCCTCTGGTACTCAAAACACAAGCAGTTTTGGCTGTAGAAGACACCACCACAAGTCTTAATCTTGTGGCTCTTGCACTCAAATTCCAAGTTTCCAGCCACCATTACTGCTGGGTAAACCAACAGGAAGACAATGATTTAGCCACACCAGTCAGGAAGTAAATGCTGCACCAGCATACTTTTGAACAGAACTTTCTACATTTAATACCTGAAAAGCAAATAAAAAGCAATACATATTTTTTTTTTTTAGACGCCTCTAATCTCTTGAGTTATTAATCTAATTCCTGGAGTCTACCTAGTTCTCCATATGATATTTCTGACTAAGTAGTTATTATGTATCAGTATTGTCAACCAAGGTACAGGTGAAAGAACCTAGTGCTGGCAGTTCTTCTACAGACATCTGCATCACTGTCTCGCTGATCTACATCAGCGAGATCCCCCACTGAACAGAACTGCACCAGGCAGGTCTTCTCACTCTTAACCAAAATATGCTAGAATACAAAAAACATTCTAAAGCTTTTTTTCAGAAGAAAACTTAAAGTGAAACACCTTTCCTGGTGCAGTGCTTTTCATTTACAATTAGATAAAAGCTCAGCCTATCTTTGAATATATTAATTCCCCCCAACTAATTTTAAATACGATGATACATAGAGAGTATGACCATTGTTAAAATAGAGATAAGTAAGTTTCCCAGATTTCCTCATATCTAAAGAGATAAGTATTTTAAGGAAACACTGAGGTGAAAATATTAAAATTGAGTATTGTGAAAATCGACCAGGCTACAAAGTAGTACGAAATATACAGCACTGCAAAATTAAGCATTCGCATGAACTTCCTGTAGAGCATTATTTTATACCATCTCAGGAAAATTATATTTGACATCCACAGTTTAAGATCAACTGCTTGGTTAGCTTACTTCAAAATAAAATTAACAAAAAGGAAAAAAGAAAGAAACACCAACACAAAACCTAGAAGTCAAAGGTTAGCTAAGCTCCCCTAAAACTCCCAGCATGTCAACCACTGCTTTTCCCAGATCTCTCTCTGAAGCAATGCCAAGAACGTGGCAATGAGCAAGCCTGAATTCTGTTATGCTCCAGAGCCATTCTACCTGGTCTTCATGCAAGAATATGTCAGATACACCGCACTGATTGCTGAATGATAGCTCCAATTTAGGATTAAAAACAAAGACAAATATTCATCACAGCAGCCTTGTAAAATAACTGTGTGGCTCTGTGGACCCAAAATCACATCAACTTGGTTTTTAAGCAGAAAAAAATATTCCATATTCAGTACTCCAAATATTTGGGCACCACTCATGAGCCAGTCAGTCCTATCACAGAAAAGACACATCTCTATTCTACTTTTTTCTCCCACTTGCACAGCAGTGGCCCTGCATTTCAACTAAAGCACAATTCAGACATTTAAGCAACATAAGCATGGGAACAGCCATTCTCTGCCCTCAGGAAAAAAAAGGTTAGTAGACCACACGGAAATCCTGGAAATCCACATCCTAGCTGAAAGCGAGCATCATTTCATTTCAAACATGGACTATGCTATTTTATCAGTTCACTGGATGAACAATAACAGATAAGAAAAGATATCAAAGTACACCTAGTGTAGTCACTGCTTTGCTGATAAAAATATTTTCAGCAACTAAAGATTCATCTCCTGCTGAAGGCACTATCCTCAACAGCAGTATAGTTACAATGTCAGGACCATGCATACCACACTACTACATACAGGAACAGCTCCTTCTTCTTCAATTAAACCGAATTTAGCAAGCTATTTCTCCCAGAATTTAAAGACTCCCAGTGCTGATCTTAAGTTCTTCTGATCCAAATTTCTTACAGTAAATTGACAACAAAGTTAGGCCTAGATATGAGAGATCAATATAAGTTCTTAATCAGTATGTGTTCTTAAACATTTTTATGACCTGAATGGTATATATTCCTGTACATCATAAACAAAAAGAAAGACTCAGAATCTTTAAAAACTAATATCCCCTCATTACATAAGATTTTACTAGAGCAGAAACTGTTTAGTCTAAACTCAATGTTGCTTAAACACTAGTATATTTTAAGTCACTATCTGCTTTCATAAGTCATTTCTACCTGAGATCAAAATCAATCTAGCTTGATTATAAGGTGTGGAAAAAATTTATTTTCTTCACAGTATGATTTTCATAACTTCTCACTTTTAGTCCTCTACAAAGAAAAGCACTTATTAAGGACTGTTAAATTGTTTCAACCTGTCTATATTCATGAGCATGACTCGCACAATATATAGGTCTTCTACAGGGCACAGCTGACTTCAGAACTTGAAGACAGCAAGTACGGCCACACTGCATAAAAGCGTCCGTCTAGCTCTGGATTTGCCGCTAACAAGAACCTACAACAGATAGCTTGGGGAATAACCCAGGAGCAGGGCACACATATAATGATAGTCTCTCCAATATATAAGTTTCTCCAACTCCATTTGCAGGTCAGCAAATTCCTAATGCAATCAGAGATTGCATCTTTGTATTTTTATAATACTCTGTGACTCCTATGAGCATCTACACAAATCCCACCTTTCCGGATTATAGAAACTATGCACGTTATCACTTTCCATGAAGCCATAGAGAAATCCAGACACTAGAACAATTTAATTGTAAATAAAATTTAAAGAAAAAAAAGTAGCATTATCCAAGTTCTAGAGAGTGACAGTTAAATAGATAGAGAGATATGTAATCTGGAGTTCTGCAACTTTCCCACTGCAAAATCCAGCCAACAATTCTCCTGAATTTCCTGTGAAAATTTTCACTTTTTTTAAAGGAAAGTGAAGGAGTGATTTTTGACTTCTAGGTGGAATGCTCAACTGAAGTAACATATATTAAACAAGTTACCTCTGTGAGGGACCCACAAGGTACTCCACCATGCAAGACTCTATCCAAACTATGCAGCGTGGTGGATAAAAAGGCTGAAGAGGGACTGACAGACTTCCTCAGTTTCATTTCATAAGCCTACGGAAGGAGGGAGGAAAAAAACAAAAGAGAACAAACAAATCAGAAAATGCCTTTTTTAATGGAAATAGGAGACTTGTACTTGCTTTCATCAACCTGGTATGACACCAGTTGCCAATGAGCAAAGTACTCCTATCTTCAACTATAGTCTGCTTAGTTCATCACACTTACATCCCATTTATATCTCACAGAGTAAATTTTAAAGTCTTTTTTATTTCCCTCACCACAATATTAAATAATAAGCTTTTAATAACAAAATGACAGAAGTCTTCTCTGTTCCTATTCAAAAAGGTTTGCTTTTAACCCATAAAAATCCAAATTCTAAATAAGTAAACAGTATATGTATGGTTAGTGACCATTACAAAACCCTCACATGAAATCTAAAAACAAAAACTCCCTCATTGACGTTCATTACCAATTTGAAACTACGTGGGTTGAAGGAAAGGTTTGCTAAAGAGTCCCAAGTCTTTGAATAAGCCTGTGTAGTACTCTAACCATTCATCATTTTCCACTTTGCCAAAAGAAAATCCAGCCACTGCCTTGCAGCTACTGTGTTTCCTTCTTGCACTCCCCCCAGTAGAGTGTCTTACCTGTAGAGTAAGGCACACTACAGTTCATCAGAAAAAATCCTCAAGAAATTATTTTCAGGATCACTTCACTTCTCGGCACCACTTTTATATCTAAAACCAGTTCATACTGAAATTCTCAGTCTTTTTCTGTATTAAACAACTTGTTGGTTTTTTTAGTTGCAGGATCCAAACTAGAAGGAATTTTTACATGCTGGATTGCAAGAGAGGATAACCTATTTCCCTACTGCACTCAGAACAGATGCTGCAAGCCTGAACAATCTCTTGAGGCTACAGCGCCTAATAAATGTAACTGCATCAAACTAAAGTGTGTCAGAGATCTAAATTTAAAACCGAAAATATTACTTCACTGTGCAATAAAACCAAGACGCTCCATGCCTCCTGGCTAAAAAGATGAGTGACAATGTTCAGGTTTTTCCCTGATATTTTATCAAAAACAGTATCAACACAAGTATACTTACTGTCTGCATTTTGGGAGCACAAGCTCGGCTGACTTTACAAAGAAGCTTCTGCACCTCATAGTAGCTCTGTCCCGTCACTTTCATTAGCTCCAAGAGGGAAAGACATAAAAAGTCCTGAAAGATAATAAAGCACTTCAGAGAGCTCAACCTAGGAATCCAGGCTGGGGACTAAACTGATGCAATCTATATACAACTGGTACCCATTCCACAGGTTTACCAACTCTGCCACGTTATACACTATTATGCTCTATCTCTCCTACCTTTTCCTCATACAGTATACTAAAAGAAGTTGTATTCACATTTTAAAAGACATGGAATAAGAGGACCAACCATTTAAGATCTGTGTGATGAAACTGCAACAAGATAACACCTTTTTGCCCACCTGAAACACATTGAAAACAAATTTAAGTCTTCCAAATTGCAGTGCTAGGCAGAGATTCTGTATATATGATGCATATTGCTGAAGTACATAGGGCCTCTTGGCTCATGGACAGCTTCTTGTCCACCAGGGCCCCCTCTCTGCCCTGGTGAGGGGCAGAGCTGTTCTTCTCTGCAGAGCTGCTTCCACAGCTTCCCTACCTCCACAGGGGTAGTAAGTCCATAAAAGTTTAAATGTTTTAGTTAGGCATCTATCATTTTAAAGCTCTATTCTTACAAAGCAGCAGGCCAGATGGTGTCTGAAATGCCCCCTACTTCACAGAAAGTAAAGCTTCCTGTTTAATTACAAAAAAGTGAACACTACATGCATTAAAACAACACAAACATATACAAAAAAACCACCACTAACAAAAAAACCAACCACAAAAAAAACATACCCCATAAACAAAATAACATTTTCACCTGACAGGTAGTGATTTGACAGCGACTCAGCCTCTCACACAGCTCCTGAGACAACTGTGCTCTTCTTAGTTTCTTAGCAGCCATGCTCCTCAACCTGCATAGCAAACAAAAAAAAAAAATTTTGAAAGATGATTTGAATATGACTGTGCAATTTCACTCACTCTTTGCTAAAGAACAGGAAAGTGTGCACACGTGTGCATATATATAGGTATATATAAACGATACAATGTGATACAGATTTCCCCCGTAAGTCTGCATCACATTAAGTTATATTACCACTCTGAAAGCACTTTTGTGGAATTACATCTCCTCATATTTGACCATGTATGAGATCATGCCAATCAGAATGGAAGAGTCAGCACTGTTTATAGGGTAGGTGTTTCTGGGATGTAAGAAAGCTGGAAATTACTCAGTCATGAGCTGAATAAGAACTCCTCATGCTATACTGCACTGGAAAGAAATGAGTTATCTTTGGATGCCTGAACATGAATTGTAGAGCAACCACAATAAGCATTCAGCCCTAGAACATATACTGCTAGAACACACACTCGGTTCTGGTGACCCAGGATTCGTGACAGGTGTTAAAAGAACAAAAAGCCTGAAGGGCTGGAAAGATACTTTAGCATGCAAGAGTCAAGATGATCAGTCAAACCCATCTCGTAATGTTCTATGTACACCTTACAAACCAAACACACTCAGTAAAGAATTCTTTAATTTAGCCAACAATGTAAAAGAAACCAGAGACCAAAGTTGAGCATATGAAGAAGATAACTACAACATTATTTATTCAAAAAATGAACAAAAATACCACTGTACCAAGACAGCAACAATTGTAGTTTACTGTGATTGAGACCTAAGCAAATTGCATTTTTGAGATTCCTGATTAAAGAGTATCTGATTATCTCAGATAAACCTTAAGACTGTTTTATGTAGCAGGTAAGACTATTCTGCAGCTATTCCTTTTCCCCCTCAGTTATGTACATTTGTCCTCTTTTTTTTTGTCATTCCACTCTACTGAACAAAACCCCACGGGATGGTGTTTGGCTCAGTACAACCCAAAACACACATATACGTGTTTTTGAGCACATCGCTGTTTCACACATACTCTTTAGGCAACATTCCTAGTATTAATACAATTAATACAGACATTTAGGCAAGACGAAAGGTTTCATAATGCAGTAAGCGCAAAAATTGTAAATATTTGCCATGATGCAAAACTATTACAGCTTCGCAGACGCACAGGCCTCCACATCTTCACAAGAAGGAAACTTCATCGCCCCGTCTACAAAAAATGCTCCTTAAACAGGAGGAAACCCAACCGTCTGACGCACCCCGGCCGCCCAGCCCAGCGGGCTCCGGCGCCCGCCCGCCCCATCGGCCGGGGTCCCGGGATGCGCCTACAGCCGGAGACCCAGCCCAACCCTCTCTCGCCCCGGGCAGCACCGCGAGCACCAGAAAACCCGCTCCCGCCGCAAACCAGCCTCACCCCCGCGACTCGGGGGCGTCCCGCCGGGCCCCGCCAAGCCGTAACAAACCCACCCGCCCGCCCTCCCGGGGCGCAGCGCGGACCCCGCGCACCTGAGAACTTTTTCAAAGCTTCCCCGCGGCGGGCGCGAGGAGGCGGGACCGTCGGGCCAGACCCATGCTCTCAATTGGCTGAGCTCCCGCCAATCCCCGCGCAGCGCTGGCGGCAGGCGGCGCGCGGGGCATGCCGGAAGAGGTAGTTTCAGGGGGGGAGCGAAGGGGGGAGTATGGGTCGGTGATGGCGGCGGTTCTGGCCGGGCAGCGCCCTACTGAACCCGCTCCTCAGGGGGAGAAGGAGAGGCTCAAGGGGTGTTCACTGTTCATTCTGCTCGTGAAACTGAGCGCCTCCCCCGAGGCAGGAGCCTTGCACGGCGCTTCCGTGCTGTACCCTAGATATTCCTGCCGTCCTCCACATAGAAAGCGTCAATAAACCCCAAAAGTCTCCAGCATGGAGAATGCCACGCGTGCGTTCAGTTGCTAGTAAAGAATATTGGATTGGTGGTTCTCGTCTTCAAACTGAGGGCTTACAGACACCTGGTGAGCTACCCGCTGTGGGAGAAATGCCTTTGGCACTGAAGAAACTATTGCCCTGGAGCGTGAATCAGAATCGATTAGGTAGGAAAAGACCTCTTGAGATCATCGAGTGCAACCTGTGACTGAACACCACCATGTCAACTAGACCATGGCACTAAGTGCCACATCAAGTCTTTCCTTAAACACCTCCAGGGGTGGTGACTCCACCACCTCCCTGGACAGCCCATTCCAATATCTAATCACCCTTTCAGTGAAGAAATTCTTCCTGATGTCCAGCCTAAACCTCCCCTGGCACAGCTTGAGGCTGTCCTCCCTGTCACTAGTTGCCTGGGAGAAGAGACCGGCCCCCATCTAGTTACAACCTGCTTTCAGGTATTTGTAGAGATCAATAAGGTCTCCCCTGACTCTCCTTTTTTCCAGGCTGAACAACCTCCGGTCCCTCAACCGCTCCTCATATAATTGACTCTCTAGACCCTTTACCAGCTTCGTTACCCTTCTCTGGGCTTGCTCCAGCACCTCAATGTCCTTCCTGAATTGAGGGGCCCAGAACTGGACACAATACTCAAGGTGTGGCATCGTCAGTGCCAAGTAGAAGGAAAGAATCATTTCCCTAGTCCTGCTGGCCACACTATTTCTGATACAGGGAATGTCTGAGTGTAACAGGTAGAAGCAGTCATAAAACATGACTGATGTGAATGGCTATGGGGTGAGTCCAATTCAATACTAGAAAGTGCTGAAGTTAGTACTGTGTGCATATGTTATCTGCATAATCTTTACAGTTCTACAAATTAAACTTAATTGAAGAAAAAAAATGGGCCAATGTTATCTTGGACATCTACTGAGAAACTGCACATTGGGAACTGCATGGCCCAGGTTTTGTCTGTTCTGAAAAAGAAATGCCACAGCAAAGCTGCAAAATACAGAACATTTCAGCCACTTTTCTAAACGAGTGATAAGGAGAAACAGGAAGAAGCTATCATGAAATGCCCAAAAACTGTAGTGTCAAAAAGGGTCAGTGCAATCAGTGTTTCTTTCATACCCTGAAGGGGGCTTACATACCCAAAAGAAATCCAGAGGATATAAGAAGCTAGACAGATATAAGAAGCAGCCCACACAAAAGCAACTCAGAGCTTTAGTGAATAGGTAGCTGAACAGGGAGAGATGGCATAGAGGAAGAGCTCCTCCTAGTGTAGTTGACTTTTAAAAGTTGACTTGAAAAATGTAAGTCACAACTGAGAAAAGCTATCTAAGGAAAGAGAAAGGATGTCTGTTGCTGCAGTTTAGTTTCCGTGTAAACAGGAGGACATGACCATGGTATAACTCTCATAGACTACTCATGGACTATTTCCTCCTCAATACAGGAGTAGCAGGAGCCTGACCTTCTCACCTGAGGTGCGAGAAAAAGGATTGCCTTGATGACTTTTTTCCTCCCACAAATGCATTGGGGCCTGCCATTCAGCTCCAGGTCAACAGGCTTCCTTTCCACTTTCTACAAAAACAGAATACCTGTATTAAACCAAAGAACTGTTCTGGGATGTTGAGCAAGGGAAGCAAATCTTAGCAGCCAAGTAGTTAAAAAAATTCATGAGCAAAATCAATATACCCTGGTAGCTCTCCTGCAAGTGCTTTGAATCTCATTTCTCGCTGGTGTCATGACTGTTCAACTCTCTGCTTCTCAGATCTGCAGATACACTTTTAAACCTACTGGCAAATAATTGTGCACCGTCTTCTCTGTGTAAATTGAGAGAAATAATATTCAGAGGATAATCAGAGACGTGTTCACATACACAGCAACACAGCAGGCAACTCCACAACTTCCATATATTTGACTAGGATAGTAGTTGCTAGGGAATCAGGGCCCTCTGCAAACAGCTCTGCTGTGTGACCTTGGTCAAGCTCCTTCACGACAGGGTATCTGTTTTCCTTCTCAGTTTTGCTTTTACCTATTTAGTCTGCAAACAGAGTAAGTAATGCCAACCCAATAGACTTAAGTGTCAGGCATGATACAGCAGAGAACTGCTCTAGTCTAAGCCTTTTGCTGCTTCTGGAACTTATAATAAGAAGGGATTAAAAAGCTAAGATATGATTAGCTTCACCACATTAATTTAAGAAGGTCATTTAAACTGGCAGCACTGGAGAAAGACACATAGAAAGGCGAAGCATAACAGCACCAGCAAGCTGTCTCATAGAAACAGAGTGATCTAACATCAAGCACACCAATTAAAATAAAAAAGGGAATGGTGATTAGCTTTCTAAGGGGCAAGCAAAAAGACACAGAGTCTGATTTGAAGGGCACATGATGAAATACTTATCAGTTCTTACCCAAATAAATACTCAGCAGTTAGGAATTCTGCAAGTCTACAATTGAAAAGATAATGGCAAGATTTTTGCTTTCTGGAACAGAATCCACGGAAAAGTTTCTTCCTCAAACCCAAGACAGCCTTTTGTGGGCATTTTCAGATAATAGTTTGCATTCTGGAACATTTCAGGTGATTCATATAATTACTAACACAGTATCAGCTCACTGATACTGACTACAATCCTTAGGTTTATTACTATTTTCCAGCTATCAATTCTTGCCTTAAAATTAGCAATGTTCCCCTACCCCTGTGAAAGTGTCACCCCAAAAGAGTTTACTTTAAGAGAATATAGCTGAGAATATAACAATTCTGACTCACAAGGGTAATCCAGATATTCAGAGCAATTCCCCACCTTATGCTTGCTGACTAGTGTCTAATTAGTCTAATATATTCTTTTTCCTTGGGGTTATCTACTTGATGCCTACTACATTCTTTAATAGAAAAAAAATTACTCATAAGCTCCTGAGACTGGAAAACAGTTATAGATCAGTCCCTGCTTTCCTGGGATTAAGGTCCCAATACCCAAAGGAACCTCCAATTAAGTATACTCTCCATTGCAGTCTCCCCAAAGGAGTTGGAGATTTACTTCCAATCCTTTGAGGTTCCCCCATCTCAAAAAAAGAAATTCAAAGGATTTCATAAGGAGGCCTGCACCCTGGTTAAAAATGGTTTATATTCCATGCCTTCCATATGAGCACAGCTTTAGCAAAGCTCCTTCAACTTGAGATTTTGCCAGACACATCTGTTCCAGGGGTGAGACGGAGGGAAAGGAAACCATCTTTCTGTTGTTTCTACAAGCTGTTCAGCAGAACCTTGCTGTCATCATCAGCTATAATAAACAAATCAAGAACAGACCTGTGAAAAAGTAGAACATCTTTTGATTCTTATTCTCCCCCTCCCCAAGTCCTCTGAACAGTTGATGGACCAGATAAATGCTTCTCCCTAGAAAATTAATCTTTTTCCTCCTGCTCAGGAGGAAAACCCAATTATAATGAATCCTCTCAGGTATTAGTGAAGACCTGTCTCACCACACACCTTTACATCCAGAAAAAAGAATATTTTTTTTCTCAGGGCAGGTAGAAGACATTTCTCTGTTTTCTGCCTCTTCATGCATCCTCCTCTGAATCCAGAATTATTCATCACCCCTAAAACTATTTCAGAAATATTCAGCATCAATGTAGAATTTTTTTGAAAGGGAGCGTCTGTACCTCCTACCCTTTTTACAGAAAAGCAGACTAGCCACATTCATTGCTATTGCAGGCAGAAGGGCAGACCCACCTGCGCACTATAGCTTTGAAAAATTCAGCTGCATTTGCTTTCAGCCCAAACTACTGCAAATGAAATGAGAGACTTCAGGGATTATTCCACTTTTAGCCTGTACTCATCTAAGAAGATTACCTTCCAAGATCAGCTTCCTACTTCATTTAGCTTTTTCTTGTTAGAGCAACAGCAGGAGTCATTCAAGTCTTTGGTCTTTTTATATTTCCCATTAAGTTTCTGTTAGATGAGAAGCCCATGAACTGGTACAGCAGCAACCTAATAATCTATGTGGAGTTGTTTTTACCACTGTTTTGATGGTGCCTAACCCTTTTTTGCTGCCTTGTCTTGAGTTTCCATTTACTGAGGTTTCTGCAGTTGTCCCAGTAGTGCTCTCTGCAATCACCAGGCCCTGCCACTCTCGGCACAGAATTTCCTGCAGCTTTCCCTGTGATGCTGAGATAGATCAAAAAGCAACAAATATCACAGCAGCAGGCCTTTAGGAGCATTGCACAAAGCAGGTAATATCTGACTGAGGTAATCCTTAGGTTCCCCACTGCAGCTTTTTGTTTCTGAAGCATGGAAAAACTGCAACACACCCTATTACTCAGAAACTG